TCCTTCCAAACAGGCGACTAAAACTATAGCCATATCGCTTGTCCAGGCGCTGGATTAGTCAATGGTTCTTAAGTTTTTAGTTCAGTATATAATTTCCCTATCAAAATGTAAAATATAAATCAGTAGTTTTTAGGTTGGGTGGTCATAAGCATAATTCTAGAATCAATCAGTCATGCAGAATATAAGAGGGTTTGAAGAGGGTGGATGAGAATAAACGTAGGAAAATTGATTTTTTAAAACAGCCAAGGTTAACTTTTTTCTAAGTAATTTTTTTGTTTTCTTTCTTTCTTTCTTTTTTACTTTTTTTTTTTTCTTTCTTTTTCTCCATCCATCTTTCTTTTTTTCTCCCTTTCTTCCTTTTCTTTCTCCCTTTCTTTCTTCTTTCCTTTTTTAATTTCATTTCGTTTTTGTCGGGCGACGTTACGGGATGTTTCGCGCAAGTTCATTTTAATTTATCACAAGCCAAAAAAACCTGCCAATTTAAACACGCCATATTGCACTTTGCTCTCGTCACGATGCGATAGGCGTTACAAACACGTGACCGCATAAAAATAGACCTTAGTTCGTGAAGACCCCAAAAGACGTAGATCAATAGCTTAAAAACAGTGTCTCGGAGTTAAGAATACTAAAACACTATAACCTCTTCCTAGGAGATGGATGTACCTGAAGCGTTCGCGGAGGCGTTGTGGGATCACGTGACCATGGACCCAGAGGAGCTCAGTTTCAAGGCTGGTGACATCATCACTGTTATTAGCATGACCAACGTTGATTGGTGGTTTGGCCAGGTCGGGGAGATGGTTGGTTGGTTCCCTGCACCGTTTGTCCGGGTAAGAGTTTGTATACCGCTCATGTTATGCACTTGTGTGACACTCTCGCGTGACTCTTGCGTGACACTTGCTTGACACTGATGTTATTCTTTRCAGTGATTGGTTGTCATCCCTTGTTGCGCAAAACAAACTTGCAAAAATATCTTAGGTTAAAATCTTCGTGTTTTTGGCAGTCGGCCTGGGATTCGACAGCAACCACTCTTATTTTGACGCGCTGTTACGGTTTCTCGCGCAACTTGTTTTGCGGGGGGAAAATTGTGCAAATTGCAGGACATTTTTGTGCGTTGACACACGCCAGAGCAACTTGTATTTTTCGGCGACTTTTCATTGCATGAAAAATATAACTGCTTTCTGAATCTCGAGTAACAATTTTTGCCGTGAGACAAGTTGAAACCAGTTGATTTATGCATCGTTTAAACACAGCATTTTTTAATGATACGAGYTGCACGAGAAATCTCCCATTATGCCGTGTTTCCCATTTCCATATTTTCTTTCATTAAATGAATTGCTGTTTTCGTTCAGGTTCGTGTATCTCAAGAGCTCGATGAGATAGAACACCAACAGGCTCAACCAGTACGAACCAGAAAGTTTACTAACGAAGGACTGCTGACCAAAGAGGTCGTGCGCGCACGTGTGGTCAATGAACTGCTGGAAACCGAGAAGGCATACGTGAAAAATATTAAAGATGTTGTAGAGGTACGTATTTAGCAAATTTCGTTTGAAAACCTCACCGTACGGACGTGACCGTGACCGTGACGGGGCCGTTTTCTAGCATTCTGATTGGATGAGTAGTGATATCGCGCAATGTGATTGGTTCAGAGAATGTTTTGAATCCTCCAAATCGATCCTATATAACAATAAAGTAAAAGACACAAAATAAGTAAATGAATTCTAAAATTTAAAATAAGATCCATAGTATTTTCACATTTTACTACATTTTAATTTCATGGATATTTTGTTATCCTCATAACCCTCGCACACTGGAACAGATGTTGGACTTCCTGTGGCATGTTGGCTTAACCTACTCAACACAATTGTCAACAAAGCTTGGATATGTAAATACAATGGAGGTAATTATTTTGTTGATCTTTCAGGGTTATTTAAAACAAGCACAGAAGCGAGACGACATGTTTTCAGAGGAAGAGTTGTACACGCTCTTTTCCAACATAGAGGAAATTTACGCTTTCCACAAGAAACTGCTGGCTCAGATGAAGAACTGTTACGTGAAAGACGATCCGTGTGCCAGTCAAATAGGCGCCGTGTTCTTAGCAAATGTAAGTCAGGGATCAGTTGGGATCAGTCAAGTTTACACTGTTTCACCCTGGTGTTTGTCTTGTCTAGTCTAGTCTATCACCATAGGAAGCCCAATCAGAGTATAATGTAATCTGAGTATACCATACGAGGTTCCCTCTTCAATATACCAAACCGCGCTCGAGCCAGAACCCTATCATTGTTACTGCGCATGCTCGACAAAATGACATGGCATTCGGTCGAGCATGCGCAGTAATTCGACCTTATGAACAAAGGAACCCCAARTTGAAAGATTTCATTTCGCTTCGTTTTGCATATTTTAAACGAGTTGTAAAACTTATAACTTAATCATGTTTTTCTTGGTTTTGGTCTTCCTGTGGTCTTGTAAAAAACAGTTACTGAAAGTTTAACTTCTATTGGATCTACAGAAACAAGGTTTTAGTATATATTCCGAATACTGTAACAACCATCCTCAAGCCATCGCCGAGTTTAAAACGTTAAACGAGAGCAACAAGTACAAACACTTCTTTGAGGTAAGATTAACCAATCAAATCGCGTGATCTTAAAATGAATCTAATTGGTCGGCAGTAAGTGATGTCATTTAATAGCGGATCCGGGTGAGGTTCACTTAGTGTCATTGCCCATCCCCCCACCCACCCCCCCACCCCCTCGTTTCTATCTGGGAATGTCTTAATAAAGAAAACTGAAAAGTTGTACATTTTCTCACCTCCTTACGTTTTTTCCTTCTTCTTCAGGCTTGTCGTTTATTACAAGGGATGATAAACATCTCTTTGGATGGGTTCTTGTTAACACCAGTGCAGAAGATATGCAAGTATCCGTTACAGCTTGCAGTAAGTACCAATACAAGTTATCATAAGCTCTCGGCAGAGGACGAAAGGAAAATATAATTGAGAACTTTCGTGCCAGTGTAGGCTGGCAAGCCTGTGACTCTCGTTCCATGATCGAATTGGAATTCGAATGAAAGGTGGTAACAACTCTACTCGCATACGATGGCGAGAAAGAATCCACTAATAGAACATTTTACAGTCTGTAAGACTTTTGTCTGTTGTTGATATTGTGCCTATTCATTTTTTACCGTTAGTGACTAGAATGTCTTTTTTAATCCTGCAGGAGTTACTGAAACACACTCATCCTTCTCACCCGGATTTCGAACCCGTTAGTCAGGCATTAAAAACCATGAAGGACGTGGCGGGGTTGATAAATGAAAGAAAAAGAAAAGTAGAAAGTATCAACAAGATAGCCAGGTGGCAAGGCACGATAGAAGGATGGGAGGTGGGTAATGTCTTTAATGTTTCAGTCTCGTAAAGTGATGCAATGTTTGATAGATATAGCGCAGTCTAGCTCCGAGTGGTAGATTGGCACCTAATCTGGCGCCAATGTGGTTCTGTCGAAAGCAATTATAGAGTTATTTAGTTGTTAATCGTATTGATGACGATGACGATGATGATGACGATGATGACGGTGAAGATGATRATCATGTTGATTATAGTGATGATGATGATGAATGTTGAAGACTGCTATGATTTTAATGCTGGTGATGTGACGATAATCGCATGATGACGAGTGATGATGATGCTGATGTTAATGATGATGATAATGATGACGATGACTGATGAAGGTGATGATAAAAACAGTGATGAACAACTGAACCACTATTTAATTTTTCCCATTAATTTTTTTATTTTGTTGGTTTTTTTCTCCAGGGAGATAATGTCCTGGAACGAAGTTCGGAGCTCTTTTGTTCAGGAGAAGTGTACAAAGTATCAAATGGAACGACTCAAGAACGCATCTGCTTTCTCTTCGATCACCAACTGATTTACTGCAAAAAGGTGCGTTTTCTAAATGACTTTCAGGAGTGAAATCGTCCACGAAGGAATCGCTAACATCCAGTGGCTAATTTACTAACTAACAAACCTGTGACCCTCATTCCAAAATTAATTTTAAATTTAAAAGTAAATTTAGAGAACCCGGAAATAATCCTGGAAGCACAGGCGAGGAATTTTAAGCGTGGAGTATTCTACTCACACATGAAGGAGAACCCGGAGATGGAACTCAAGAACACAGCGCGTTGAGAGGTCGCGCAATAGCAGCACGCACCACCTGTGCTTCCCTTGTGAACGTTGTACACTGTGACCTTTGATTGGATTCATCGCCTAGCCAATCAAAATTCATGGAAAGTGTGTGCCATCCAATTACAGCGCTTCGGGTTGGAAGCCATATTAGTGTTACGAGAACACAATTTCCAGCTTTAATGAATGAAATCTGCATTTCACGCAGAAACATTCTCATGTTTTGCGACTGATTGAGTGATTTTCATTTTTGCAGGATATTCTCAGGAAAAACGCTCTCACATACAAGGGCAGAATAGACATGGACTTGGCTATTGTTGAATGGCTGGAGGACGGTCAAGGTGAGTTTAATAGATAGGTACATGTCCTTAAAGCTGTTGTACTGGTTCTCGTTCTTGTTAAATTCTTATCTACACTAGAACAGATTTCTTCTGCCCGCGTGACCGTGTAACGGCACGACACACAGAGACACTTTCACGTTGGATGATATTCTTAGAACAAATCACTATGGACCCAATCAGAATAATACTACTCAGATACCTCTCCGTCACGGTAACCGTACTGTGGTTTTTTTTGTAGTCGTATGATTTTTTTAAATACGATTTTCTCTATTTATTTATTTTTTCTTTCTCTTTAAAAGTTTTTCTCTAAATACAGTATGCACTTCATTTGCCTCGATTTTCGCTGTGTTTTCTTTCCTCCTAGGCCTCTTTATTATTTCTCTCCGCCCTCTCTCATCCACACTCTCTTCCTACATCATTTCATAAAATGGATTTTCCATGTTTCAGAGACCCACAAGAACGAACCATTAAATAACGCATGGAAAATCTACAACAGCACTGACTACAAATGGTACGTTGTCTACACTAAAAAACCCGAGCAGAAAGAAAAGTGGAAACTAGCTTTCGAAAAAGAAAGGACAAAAGTGAATGAAAAAGTGGAATCAGGTGAGCCTTTCAAGAGCAATACCGCTGTCCATGGACTTTATGATTGCAGGCGCAATCGTAGACACTGCATCAGAATATTAACACTTAAACAATACAAAAAGATTGAAATTCTATGGAATTTTTGCTGCATGAAACATACATATTCGACACAAAAACAAGGGTATTCCTGCGGCTTTTATCACCTTTTGGCATGCGCAAACATTTTTGAGAGAATATTAGATAATCGACCTCCTCTGCTCGGCGTAATGCTGTCCCACTTCAGACCACGTGTCATTCCCTTGAGAATAATATTCTTTGTTTGAGTTGTATCCATATTCATGTGTCTTCTCATGTGCAACCGAGCGCCAACCTTAAACAAAGAAATGATACTCTAGGGAATGACACGTGGTCTGAAATGGGGAAACATTACGTCAGAGCCGAGGAGGTCTATTGTTCGCTTTTTATATCACAATGGAATAGCTTATCCTCGTTACCAGACCCTACTCAAATGTTATCAAAAGGCAGAGTAGGACTGGGAATGAAGTAGGAGTAGAAAAGAGTAGGTCTGGAAGAAAGGCGTTAATTTGCTCAACATCTTTTCGTACTTTTAGGTCTAGAAATTTCACAGAGCACAAGACGAGCCGTCATGAGATCCGCAAGTTCGTCTATCAAAGGCAAAAAATCCGCTGGTAAGCATTCTAAAGTCACTCAKTGCTAATGACGCAGGCAGAAGTGATTTGCATTCGCAATGAATCCCAAAAGCCGCATGGATGGCCACCATGTTTGTAGTCTACGTACAACCCAACTGTAGTTGATACAACAGGAAAATAAGTAAAAAGTTTCAGTAAGAAAACCGCACATTTTTTAAAGTGTTTGTTTTTCATTTCTCTAGCAGAGAGAAGAGAAAAGTACCTGCGCTCAGTGTCACAAACAGATGCTCTTAAATCTCCTCCCTCACCAACACTAAGACTTCCTCCCCCCGTCTCCAGTGAAGACTTCATCAAAGAAGACGGTGACACCAAAGAATCCGTTGTAGGATTCTTACAAAGAACGTCTGCTCTGAGAAGAAGCTTCGGTTTACGAGGAAGCAAGAGAAGCCATAAAGACAAACGAACAAGCTCAGTTTTCTAGGAATTTTATTTCAAATTAACTGAATTCGGATTGCTAACACTAAACAGCCTAGTTTTCCCTCCAGACACAGTGCGAACGAGATTTCAGAATGCTGTGGACGCGCGGAGAATGAGGACGAGTTAAACAATCACCGCCCCATTCTCCGCGCATCAAAAATAGCCTAAATGAGTCTGGAGGGAAAAGAAGTATGCTATATTTGTAGATAAGTTTGTAAATATATTACAATTTAGTTCCAAGGGGTCGTTAGGTCATTTATGAGCGTGGACCTGAGGAATCTGGAACCGAGTGGTGACAAAGAATTGAAGTTTGCAACTTTTGGTCTTCAATTTTGGTTTTGTTGGTCGTATATAAAAACATTCTCAAATTGGCTGGCCAATGATGTAGAGTGGAATAAGTCTCACTATTGAATAGTCACCGGCATTTGGAAAGACTTGGCGCGCATGTGCGAAAAGTCAGTGCGAAATTGTGGGAAATGAGTTCTTGACTCCAGACCCCTGTCACTTTCTCACTGCGCAGGCTCTTCGAGAATGCGCACTCAGAATGATAGGACTCTGAATCTGAGTCTATTTTTATGCGATTTTAGGAAATCTCTGAGTTACTTAACTGCCGTTTTGAATCAAATTTGATGTACTTAAATGTAGCTCTTTATTCCATAGTGAGACTTATTCGGCTCCAACTAATTATTTAGGTTTAATTTCATAAAAGAAAAATAATAAATGTACAAATACCAATCCTAATCCAAGAGAAAGATATTAAGATTCTTTTGCGCATTTCAGCATCCTTTCTCGTTTATCTGAAATGTACCATACTCTTGATTCGATAATATTATTTGTTAATACTAGATAACTTAATTTATTTATGAGTAGAAAATCTGGGTTAAGATTGATGTCCATCGATCGTTTTAAACCTGATTTTCTACTCATTACGAACACTGATCGCACAAGTAGCGTTAGTTATTAATTTATTTGTTTGAGACTGAATTTTTTATTATATATTTGAAAGGATTTGTTTTTCACTCAAAATTGTTGTTAGTTTACAACTCAAGAAGCATATTATGCTCAGCACAGCAGAAGTCTACGAAGAATCTGCTTAGCTCGCTTAGCTTTGGATTTTCTAGCTTTTTTGGTATCATTACCGACATGAGTGTGACGTCATAGCCGCCATGTTGGATGAATTTTATTCTGGTAATTTTGTTCTCTTACAAATGCTTACATCCCATTCAAGACAGGAAGTCTACGAAAGAAACCTTAGCCTTGAATGTGTTAGCCTTGTGCGGTGATATTGCTGAGAGTGGCGGCCATATCCTATAAGTATACGCCCAAACCAAAATGGCTGCCCTACCAATCTGATAAATATCTATTTCATTCATGGTATCTCATTTTTGTTCTGTATAGTTTATAAACGTTTTTTTCTTTACATCCATGACAAATGAATTTATATTCAAATACAATGTGTTAACAATCAAAATAGAAAATAAAAAGCCATTATTTTGTTGAAAAGGTTCTATCGTTTTCAGTTTCGTTGTGGTTAAAAAATTCTCAACTACAACGATTTTTAATCGATTCAAAGTATCCTACGTTCGTAGAGAAACTTTAATCCATTCCCCTCAAATTAATAGATTCCAATTTGATCTTTCCGGCCTCGGCCATAGAATACAATTGAATCAATGACTTGAAGAAAAAATACTGTTTGGATCCGGTAGTATTCGACCTCATGTTCCCCAAGAAAAGAAACTATGATTTATTATTGCAGATGTATAAAGACCGTTATATACGAACCAGATATCTGCAGAAGCTCAGGCGTCGTATGGACTTCAGAACTGTTATGGGTTACCTTTGGTAACATTGTCCATGGGTCTGGCACTAGTGAAGGGAGAAAGCAAGATTCAAGATGGCGGTCGAAGAAGAAGCTGAAGATGAGGCGAAAACAAACCAAGAAAAAACAAAATTGAGGTACCTTAGCACAAAAATTAAATATATACACAATAGATCAACATCTGTTCTTTAGGTCTGTCAGGTTTTCTTGCCTTGTAATGTAGAAAAATAGAGCAAACGTAAAATTTAACAATGCAGTCCTCTGTGAACTCAGCTCAACCACATGTGCCTTCGTTGACAAGAAATGATATCCAAGTTATCTTTATTTTAACGTTATTATTTAAGTCACAAGAAATGGAGGCGACTTCTACGCAAAGAGAAACGTCGTGTGAAAAGACAGCGAGAAGCAGAAAAAAGAAAGCAGTTGGAGGAAGAAGGTTGGTCTGAGACGTTAATACCTTACTCATTTTTATTTGTGAAAGTTAATGTAATTTACAGTTTATTTAGTAATTGTGAATATAAGAACTTCGTGGAAGGTATATATTATTAGGATATGCCAGAGAATTTATTAAAAGACATTAATTTGATAATTATTTTTTCGACAGAGAAATGGAGATATGAGAATGATCCAATCTACAGGTTTGTAGATAACATATATTTTTATGGCATCTGACAAACATTTAAAGATATATTCAAAATATCTTTGTATACAAGCATGTGCTACATTATAAAAAGGATTGCTTCATCTTAATCTAATTTCCATAGTTTTATCTTGAATATTGGAAATTGTTGATAACCTTTCTCATTGCATGTATGTACTGTACATGTACTTAAGTATCAACCAAACTTTACTATAGACTGTGCCTATTTAATGTGTAAAACAAGTTTGGAGGTCTCAAGCTTTAAACTGCAAGCAGTGATCAGCATCAACCAATAAGGATCAAGTATATGTAAACAAATATGTGATGGCGTAATTATTTTGAATTAGGATCTTTGGAACAAGCTCTAACAGACTTTGTGTCCAGTGGTATTTTTTTCTGGGAGCAAAAAAACGAGCCACAAAACTTCCCCCCTGGTTTCTGGAGGATGCAGAGATACTGTACCTTGGCAGAAACAGTTAATTCTCTTAGTGCCTCAATACACCCCACCAAAAAAAATTTACATTTTATCGATACCCTGAAACAACCCTAGAATGATCAAACTCAGGGTATGGCTATAACTTACAGATTAAATTGGAATTGGACAGAGAATATGATATGGAGAAAACCCTTGAATCAAGGGGAAAACCATTAAACTCTGTCCTACTTGATGTTTGGTTTAAAAAATACTGCTTTAATTTTCAGAGCAAAACAAGAATCAAAAGAAAGAGCCGCAGAAAGAAAACGAAAGCAAGATGAAGAAGAAAGGTAAGTAGAGAATTTAATTCAAACCATTATATTTTAGCTCCAGTTCCATGTTCACTGATATTGATACATCTATTTTTCTATATTACACAGTAAAAGAAAAGAGCAACTTTGGCTAGAAAGAGAAGCTTTAGCTCAGATGGCTTTTAAAAAAATGAAAGAGAGGGAAGAGAGGAAAGAAAGAGAGAGACTTGAACAAGAGGTATGTTATTCATCGCACCTTGTTTGGATTCCTCTTCTACACATGGAGCCCAATACAAAAAATAAATTACTTTAATATTATTTAAGTGTCTAGTCATTCTAGCGCTTTCACACTAATTAGGGACACTTTTCGCGCACACGCACTACCACTACATTCAATATTCCATTTCACACAACGCTCAACTCACATGTTGATTTTTATGGAGGGAGGAAACTGGAGAACCCGGAGAAAACCCTCGTAGCATAGGAGAGAACAACACATCAAACAAACTCAATTCACATGTGGCGACTGGAGGGCTTGAACCAGCAACCCGATCCCTTGGACTCACAGCGAGAGAGACGAGGCATTAGCCGCAAATGCCACTCAAGCTACAGCATTTGGAATTTTTACTTGGGTCTCATGAATGGGATTTTATCATTTTCTACAGAGGAGAATAAAAGAGGAATGGGAAGCAGAAGAGAAAAGTAAGAAAGAAAAAGAAGAAAAGAAAAAACAGGAGATACAGAAGAAAGAGGTGATTCTACAGTTGGCCAAGCTATTCGTTATCACTTACCTAAATATATCCACTTAAAAAGAAAAGTTATAACTTGATTAGAAACTAAATTCACTTTATTCTGCATTCCAGAGTGTAATTATCATCAAAAGTAATACATATTTTGATCAAATATACAGCTATTGGCTTTTCAGAGGTTGCGTAGAAAGCTGGTAACTAGTAGGAGGGCACTGATTCATGGGACAACATCTTGACGTTACTTTTTCATTATAGCAGAAATCTTAGCAAATCTTTTGGTAAAACAGACTGTTAAACAATTCAAATTGACTTGATTCAAAAACTAAAAACTGTAAAAGGAAGAAACAAATGGAGTCTCTTAGACAGCCAAATGATTCAGCACAAGTCCTACTCGTTAACAGTTTTCCTTGCAACCTTCAAGAAGCCGATAGAATCCTCATGCTGGCTTATTCCAATATTGAACTGTGTACAATCCTTAACCTAACTGACACGACCCTCAGTCAATTGTGATTGACAGCAAGCAGATTTGCAGGTCCATGGTCGGCACTGGGTGTGGCATTTTACTACCTTGTTCCATGGCTACTTGACTTGGATCTTGTATCTTTTATTAGTATTATTATTACTCCACAATATTCTCATTTTAGTGTTAACAGATTTCATAATCATTCATGATTTTCGTATATGATGTACAAGTCCAACTTCCAAAAGGATCAGCAACATTTTAAAAGTTGACTATAGACAGGGACAATTTTCTGATTATTTGTTTTGAAATCTATTAACCCTCCTATTGTCCCAAATATGGAGAAAATTTTGAAATTTCTAAAATCTAAATTTAGTTTTGTTTTAACTAGAAATAGAAAAAGTTGGGCTTCCCACAGGCCAAAAAAGTTTTAGCTAAAAACCTTATATATTTTTAAGAACGTTTAGTTTGGGTGTCTTGTCTTATCTTCATGAACAATAATAAGCTGTGTATGGATTCCTTAAATATATTTCAATAGCATTTAAAAAACGTCTTTTTGTATTGATTGACACTTTCTTCATTTTGGTACAATTTTTCTTAAAATCATGAGGTTTGTAAAAAAAATCACTTAAATTTCCAAATTGAGCTTAAATGTAATGAAATACTTAAATTGCAATGTTTGATAAAGTTGTTGTCTCATTTTGCTCTTCAGGATGCTGTTTTTAGAGAGTTGGAAAAAACACCCAGACCAGAACAGGTAAATAGTAAAGAGTACAAAGTTTGGTCTAATCATCTCTGCAAGAAAATCTTATCATTCTGCTGCAATGGGAAGGAATTGCCATTGGGCTTTCTGTGCTGTCTCATTAGCCTATGGTTCCAAGTTCCCTTCATTACTTCTGCTATGTCCCACAAGCTTAAAAATTATCTGGAATAGACCTTTCCTGAATTCGTTTGTCTGACCATGAAACAATGGTTTGAAGTTGAGATTGTACTTGATTCTTTTATTCATCAAGTTCAACCTCGACTTGAAACCATTGTTTCGTGGTCAGTCAAGCGAATTCGGGATAAGTCTATTATCTCAGATTTTAAACTCTTATCATGGAAACTTGATTATAAATTGTCTTAATAGTTTACTGTCCTGCAAAAAGAATAGAAAATTGCCTTGTAATCCTTGTATTACTCTTTAAGACAAATACTGTGTAGTTGTTCGTAGGACAAGATTTTTATTCCATTGGAGAAAACTGATGCAATGGTGATTGGCTCTCTATTGATGAGTCAGAACCATTATTTGTGAGTTAATCTTGGATGCTGCTAAATATTCATAGTTAATCCAAACATCTGTTTCTCTTCAGGATTCATCTAAAGATGGGGCATGGCATAACCCACTTGCACCACAAGCAAACAACCAGAATTACGGCACGGAACTGGTATGCATTGATGCTGTTGTGAATATTTTTTTTAAAGTGCTGTCAGTACTAAAGTCTTTTTTTACTTGGTTTTCTAGGACACAGTGAACTGTTCATTTTACCTCAAGACTGGAGCCTGTAGGTTTGGTGAAAGGTTAGTAAATGGATTTCAGGGTGTGGTAATATGGGTACAAAATTGTGACTTGTAGTGCAGCATGTTATGTTGCAAGTTTCTGAACAAATGTTTCTTGTACACGTATTATCACGTGTTAATATGGGTACATTGCAAGCTACAGAGCAGCTATCACAACACGTAGATTTATTGGTGATTAAGGTTCTGTAATATGGACAACATAAATATGCAGCTTCAAGCAGCATGTTGCTTTGCAAGTTGCAGCGCAAATATTTCTTGTAGCACCACTATCAGTACAACAAATTTTCATTGTCGCAAATAGTTATTTATCTTTGATGTTCAACAGTTACTTTGTCTGTATTGACAGGTGTTCTCGCGTGCATCCACGGTTACAGTCCAGTGTAACATTAATGATCCCATACATGTACCAAGATATCAGGTTATCACAGACAATGTTAGATGAGGCAGACCATGATACAGGACTAGAGGTAACAAATTCAATAACTCAAGATTAATATATGTAATAGGACTCCATGCTGTCCATTTAAGAAATAATTGGACAAGGAAAATTCTGAGGACTGACAAAATTGGATGAGGCCATAGGCTAAGTCCAATTTGGCAGTCAGAGGAATTTTTCGAGTCTAATTATTTCTTGATTGGGGAGCATGAAATCCCATTACCTATTAATTATATAGCTGCCTAATTAATCCCATATCAACAAGACCTGTCCAATTAAGAAAATAATTGGGCAGTTACCTATATGGGATTAATGAGAATCTGTATAATTACAATGAGTAATAGAGCTTGTCATTCTCCAGGGTATGTGCATGAGATTTCAATATTCAATATTCATTCAATTATTTTCTTGCAGTTTGACGAAGAAGAAGCTTATGAGCGATACAAATCATTCTTTGATGATGTGTTGCCTGAGTTTGAGAAAGTGGGAAAGGTTGTCCAGTTTAAGGTAAATACTGATACCCTCTAATACCCTCTAATATTGTCATGAATATCACTAAAGGCAGAAGTAATGCTATGAATCTATACAGCTTGTTCTATGGTGTTAAAACTTCTATTGGAGTATTATTAAGTATTATTAAGTATTATTTTTTTATTCTTAGGTTTGCTGTAACCATGAACCACATCTTAGGGGAAATGTTTATGTCCAGTTTTCAAGGTATGTTACGTTATTTCGTTGTTGTTGCTGCTGCTGTTTTTGGTGATGATGATGATGCAGCTGTCCCTGGCATGATGATGATGATAGCGTTCTTGTTAGTCATGGTGATGAAGGTGATAATCGTTTTTATGATAGTGATGATAATGATGATAGTGATGACGATGATGATAGATTTGGGAATGATGATGATAGTGATGATGATTAGGATAGTGATGATAATGATGATGATAGATTTGAGAATGATGATAATAGYGATGATGATGATGATGACGATAGATTTGAGAATGATGATGATAGTGATGAGAATAAGGATGATGACAGTGAAGATGTGATAATAATGAGAATTTAATGTCGCTGTTGTTTTTGATGATTTTTTGATGTTTTTGTTGTTGTCTCGTCCGTTGTAATTACCGTCTTTTCCCGTTGTCGTCTTTTATGTCGCTTATTTGTTTGCGTTTGGTTTATTTGCTACTGTTGCTGTTGTCGTCTTTCCAATCTCGATTGTTGGGCTTGTTCCTGCTCATCCTATGTGGTCAGTCCTCGTTAATGTACTGGTTGCTTGCTATATTGACATTTCTTTTGTTTTCTTCAGTGAGGAGGAATGCGCCCAAGCGTTTGCTGCATTCAATGGTCGTTGGTACGCCGGCAAACAACTTTCCTGTGAATATTCACCCGTTACCAAATGGAGGTCTGCTATATGTGGTGAGTGCAAAGAACCTACGAAATTTGGGCTATGAAATATATAGTATAGAACACACTTAAACTATTGAAGAGATTTGCTTCGTCGCACTGTTGAGCAGGGGCGGCGGAACCGGGAGGGGGGCCGGGGGGGGGGAGGGCACGTGCTCCTCCACGACATTTTTTGGGGGCCGTATGTTCGATGTTCGACCAATCATCGGGCTTAGATGTTTGTAGCAGGCTACAAAGTCCTTTTTTAAGAGTTTGTCTGTCTTCTATTTCCCAGGGCTGTTCACTCGCAAACAATGCCCACGTGGCAAGAATTGTAACTTTTTACACGTGTACCGTAACCCTGGCAACGCCTTTCGAAACATGGACCGAGATGATTTGTCCCCAGGCCGAACGCCCTACAGTGAACGAGGATCCGAACGAAGCTCGGTGGACTGGAGAAGAGAGTCCAGGGAGGGTAGCGTACGGGATAGACATCGTGGTGAAAGTAGCGTACGAAGAAGAGAACGACGTGTGGATTATGAGAGGGGGAAGAGTAGGGACAGAAGTGATTGGGACCACGAGCGTTATAGTCGTAAAGACCGCGATAAGCGTGACAGCTTCGGTCGTGACGTGGAACGTGATAGGGACCGTGAAAGTCATAATGGTAATGATTACCGTGACCGTGACCATGAAAGATATCGTGACAAAAATCGCGATCGCGATAAAAAACGTGATCGCGAACGTGAAAAAGAGCATTACAGAAAACGTGATAAAAGTCGTGAGCGGCGTAACGATCGTGATGGGGATGCAGATATGAAGAAAAACAGTTTAGACAGTGAAAAAGGACATTCGCGTTCAAGAAGTATAACCAAGGACAGAAGAAAACGAAAAAGACATTCAGACAGCGAGAGCAATGATGAAGCACAAAACGATCTTCCGGAGAGATTGAATGTCATGAGGTCACGTGACGACTGGAGTACAAGCAGTGACAGCGAGGAAGATGGCAATACAAGGTGAGGATACTAAAACATTCAGTGTTATTTTACCTGCGAGCAACTTGATCTTGAATCTAATTTCTCCACTCTTATCCTTCCCTTTTTGCATCCCATCCCACTCTACATCCCATCCCACTCTACATCCCATCTATTTAACACCCCCTCGCATCCCTCATCCCCTTTTTCCTCTTCTTACCCCATTCCCGTCCTCCAATCACCCCTTCCATTCCCCCCTCTATTTCCCCCGTCTCCCCACTCCGCTTGCTCCATCCTTTTTTCTTCCTCTCCTTCCATCCCATTAGAAGTATTACCTATTCCAAAAAATTGACATCGCAATGGATTGTGGGACTGTCTTATGGGACATTTTAAAGATGGAGTCTATATTTCGTCCCCAAAAATAGTCCCCACAATGCACTGCGATGCCAACTCGACTAGTTTYTTCCTCAGACCTCGAAATGTCTAATGGACAATTAGTTTACAGTAAACTTTTCATGTTTTGGCAACTCAGTCAACACCAGTTGTGAAAAATTTTTTAATGTGTTGATTGTAGGTCAAAGAAAACTGCTAAAGAAGAAGAAAAAGAAAAGAATAGCGTTGAGAGTGACGGAAGTTCTCTTTCCTCCAGCAGTCACCATCGAAAACGAAAACACCGCTCTTCACACAAACACCACAAAAAATCAAAAAAGAAGCACAAAAAACACAAACACAGAAGAACGAGAAACAGCGAACCAAGTGATACGGAAAACCAAGGCGAATCTGAAGACGGCTTGGATAAAACCCAAAAAAATGAAGATGAGGTTGAAAAACTGCATGTAACACCTTACAGAGATAGTGCTGATTTGGGAAAAGATTAATGTAAAGAATGCTGAAAAGTATAATTTATTTTCGTAATAAAAAAGTACAGTCACATAATTTGTGGGTGTTAAATTTTCTTTTAGAAAAGCTTGTACAATGCGCCACTTTGCAAGTGACGAAATCTTTCTTTTTCCTTTCTTTCTTTCTCTTCGGTTCTTTCCTTTGTCTTTTCCTTCCTTCTTTCCTTTTTCAGTTCCCCTTCTTTCTTTAAAAACTCAGGCGACAAGTGCGAATTGGCGTCGAAATAACTTTGGTTTTACGAAAGAAATTGTCATGTTTTGCACCTATAATGATGAAAGCGCATCGCAAGCACGAGCTTTGTACCGCATAAAACTTCTCGTTATTTTTTTACACCTTTCTGCAAAACACTGACTCGGTGACCAAAATATACCTAATAAGGCATGCACGAGATTTGCAATCCGGCATGACTTCTCGCCCTTATTAATCAACACTCTTCGTATAAACCAATCAATCAAATTACAGTATACACGTGCAACATGTGATTTCTTAATGGTACCATATGATTGGATGAAATTGTGTGATTGACATTAAAATATCACGTGGTCAAGGGTTTGAAAACCTTTGCCTGCACTCAAATTCATTCACTGAACGAATTTTGATGGAACAGTTGAATGAAAAATGGTAAGTTTGCGAGTAAAACCCTTTGGTTTTAAAATATCTATGAACTTCCTGCCAATTTTAATCTCTAAAACTAAATATTTAGAAGAAATTTCTTATGATTTTTTATCAAACATTTGTAAAGTTCAGCTGTTATCCCATGGAATTGGAAATGCAAAGCCGTTCACAATCGAAAGAACTTCCACATTAATTAATTGTCGTTGAAAGTCAAAAACTGTTTTCTCGTACGGTTCTCGAAAACTAAAATATTCTGTATTAAATAGAAAGACTTAATTGTAAAAAAAGAAATTGTTTAAATGTTTATTTGAGAGGTGGAAATTCGTTCTTATCAAATGAAGACAGAAAGAAGTGCTTTAGTTATTCAGAAATATTTTTCAAAACCACAGCACACCATTTTTGTAGAGGCCTCTTGCATTTTTAGTATGTAAATCCACTTATTCAGTACACGTTTTGTCTTCAGGTATTGATGGCCTCAAGCAAGATACAAAGTACAACTGAAGTGTGGCTTGGTCAGCTATAAAAAAGAGTAAATATTAACACACGATTCTCGAGCAAGTTATAAAACTTTTCCCAAAAACTTCAGTATTTCGGCGTTGGCATTTTTGCGTTTGCTTTTTTTGCTCTTTACTTGCTCCAGTTATCAGTGTGGCTTTATTTAAAGAGGGTTGCTTGGTCGGTTCCTAAATCGAATATGAAACATTATAAAACATTTCTTTGACATGCAATTGCAATAAGTATTCCTAAAACATTTTGTCCATAAATTTTGGCTCTACGTTTTATATGCAAGTCAAAGAAAGAATATTAGGACTAGGTATAGGATTGGCAGGGCTTTGAGTATACGAAGCCCTAAGAGATGTTTAGGAGAAGCTACCACGTGTAAATCTAGGTGGGGGCTAGTGTTTTTGACTGGCATTTGCCAGGGTCAATTGGCCAATTCTAGGTTAGTTTTTCAATAAGGCAACGCTGGACATCACTGGAGACGACCTGGATCAACAAATCTATTAAATACGTCTTGTTTGATTTAGAATGGAGGATTTGCTATTTGTCTTTTATGCAGTGCTGGTCGGTTTTTTCATCTCACACACCATCTTTAAACTGCGCCTAAGGTTTAGCTCGGTCTTTCCGTTCTAAGGTTAGCGCCGGCCATGTATTATGTGACACGAATGAACGGTCACTTTTTCTCTCCACGATAGCGAGGGGGAAAGCGACTGGTTCAACTTGGTTACCTGCAACATCAATAACTTTGGCACAGTCCAGGTTTGACCAAGGTCTTGTTTTTGGGTTCCCTTTTGTCGGCTCTGGAGTCACAAACGGAAAAGGGGCGCGGAGCAGGCAGGAGGGAGCTTAATACTGGTCTTGGATTATTGGGGGAAATGTATACCATTATCGCGGTATCTAAATTTAAAATTGGCATTTTTTTACTGAACGTAACGGTTAAAAATTTAAAAAATTGGCATCGACTTTTGATGTTTTTCCTTGCTTTCTTTCTTTCTTTCTCTTTTTCTTCTTCATTCATCTGTTACTTAACATTGGTAGTTTAATTTGATTGAAATATTACAGACTAAGTTATTAATTATTATTATATATTACATATTTATATTTCAAATTAAATATTACATACGATTATTTTATATATTTTCAAATATTATTACTACATTATTATTATTACTTTATTATCATATTACTATTATTACTGTATTATCGCTATATTTTTATTGCTATGTTATGATCACCATATTATCATTATATTTTCAATTATTATTACTACATTATTATTACTATATCATGACTTTATCATTATCATGGTATTATTATAATCATATATTTTCAATTATTATTACTATATTATTATCAACATATTATCGCTATAATCATTATCACTTTATTATTACATTATCATTGAATATTTTCAATCATTATTACTATATCATTTTAACTATATTATAATTACTATTGTTATCAGTATATTGTCAGTATATTATAAACATTTTATTCTTTCTTATTTATTCATCTCTTATTCAACATTGCGTAGTTCTTTATTTGATCTTAATTATTCATAATCATCATACTTGTATTACATATGGTTATTTTATATATTTTCAATTATTATTATTTTCTTTCCTTCCATTTTCTTTCTTTCTTCCACCTTCTTCATACTTTGATCCATTTTTTGCCTTTTCTTTTTTCCTCTACCTATCATTTTTTTTTTCCGGAACAACAAACCTTGGCTATACATGTGTCATTGAAATAGCAATCCTCCAGATAATAATAATATTAACCTGGTTCACCCCGAATGTCACGGCAGTATTTATTTTTTATGTAGAGTCGATTTTAATCTATTAAGGAAAATTTATTTGTTCTTTGTCGTGGCATTCAACTTGCTTTTCAGTCTACAAAGAACAACCAAACTTGGTTGTGAGCCCACGATAGCTTGAATCAGTGGTAGCTTCTTAGCCTAGAATTTTATAAAATTTTCTATTACCATATTGATTATATTTATTATATTGATTATATTTATTATATTTATTATGATTGATTGTCGTTTTCAATGTTTGAATCAATATCAAATATTGATACAAATATTGATAATTGTTCACAGCAAATGTGTTCAATAGTCTCTCCCGTTGTTTCGTTTTCAAAACATGGGGCTCAAAATATCGTTGTTCTTGAAGAATAGCAATCGTAGAAAAATCTTCATCTAAGTTACGTTGTTTTCGGATTTATTTTGGCCTGGTTTTCGACGTATTTCGGTTCCCTAGGTTTTTCATTTAGGGTAATACTATCGTTTTTGATATTTACTTTAATACTTTATAGGATTTTCTATTAATAATAGGTCATGTGTTTATTTAGTATTCTGTGAGAGACTGTGAGTGTGCAATTTATACTATTCAATATTGTCAGTCTCCGCTATCATAAGTTACTATATATCATCATAGAAAAATCATCATTAGGAGTGATTAATTTATTCAATAACAATTCGAAAGGATTCATTGCTAGATTGATACTCGACATTGATTGTATAGGTTAATTTTTCATTGTTGTAAAAATAAGTATATTTAATAATAAACTAATGGTTCTTTCGTAATTATACGAAATATTACGATTGGGTTAAATGGTTACGGGTTTTGGTTCTTGGATATTCCCGAGCCGGTGGTTGTAAGTAATTTACGGTAGGGTTTGTGACTCTATCTTTAATGAGCTGCTGACACAGCTCGCTTACTTCTGTTGAGATCTCGTGGAATATCCACCCCCTTTTCGATTCAATTTCGGTTATTTTTCAATCGCTCACTCATACTTTACCAGCTATTTCTCTCTAGTTGTAATTCGTACTTTCAAAACCAGTACTGATTGTTCTGTTTTATTTCAGTACTTTCTCTATTTTTCTCGTTTCAGAAATACTTTTATGAATTTTACTTCAATAAATTTAACCTAACGGTTTTTCACTTCATTTCAGGGTTCTTGATACTAACATTGTTCTTTTCTCGATCTCTACAAATCACTCGTTTTTTAGTTACGCATGCGCATAATTTTAATACTTTCGGCGCAAAAATGTGGTGTAATTAATTATTTTACCTTAGAAAACATTTTTAGTTTTTCAATTGTAAAACTCCGTTGTTAATAAGGCTCTAGGATATTTTGGTTAGTTAGTTTCTTGTATATTTTAGCGACTGAGTCGTTTTGTAAGCATAATATTATTTCAATAAATTTGGGGTTTGGTTTTGGTTTCCTAGGCGTGTCTGTTCTTGTCACAACTGGTATACTAACTTTCGAGTTCAATTTTCTTTTCAGGTATTTCCTAAATTTCTTTTTTCTCGTTTCAGACTAAGAGTCTACGATGCTTAATTGCTGCACAACATTGAACTTTTTCTTCGTTTTCAGTTTCATATATACTCTTTTCAGGAATTACCAGTTACCCAATGAAGCTCAGTCTGTTAGGAGATTAAACTGAAAAACGATCCCCCATCCCAAATTGAACTGCATGCTACGTGTTGTGTTAAAACTAATCTTTTGTTTTTCCTCTTATTTTTTGCTTTATTTTTTCTATCTTAATTTTAGAAATGAGAAGCTATCCCGTCGTAGTCGTTTTCCTAGCCTCCTTCACAGCCGTTCTTAGGGTCGTCACGCAACGTTTTGGGAGGAAAACGTTGCGTGACGACCCTAAGAACGGCTGCGAAAGAGGCTACCGTTTTCCCTATTGACCGCGTTAGTGATGTCGTGACCGCAGCACCAGTGTAACTATAACATGCCGCGACCAATGCAAAACGAGATTTCTCAATGTTGCCACTGAAAATGAGAGCCACTGCTTAAACCATTACAGTAGAGTAAAAACGCTTATAGTGTGAATTTGTATTCAATTCCAAAACTTCATATCTTAAATTTTTTTTCTATATTTCCAGGTTGTTCATTGGCCACCCGCGATAATCCTGCCTTGCCATAAAACGAGTTATCAATGTCCTCCTTGGAGAAGTACCGTGTGTTCCTCCCTCCAGTAGCGGCTAAGAGTATTCTTTTTTCTTATTTTCATCGTCGAATTTGTGTTTTCGTTGAACAGCAATCCACTAATCTATCTTTTTCTTTCTTTTTGTGTTTGATTTATATTCGCAGGTCACAGCTATCTAACCTATATCTGGCCTAAAAAGAGTTGAAATTGGTAAAGTTAAAAAGGAAGGTGAGTTTTTCCCACTTATCGATTATTGTCTGTGATTTTCAGCATCTGTATGTTAAACTTGACTAGCATGTGTTTTTCTTCTTCTTTCAGAGTGAATTTGATGTCCTGTTCTTCGTTTCCACCGGACTTTGATACTCAACTCCGAGCTGATATTTTATTTTGCATATTTTGTTTTCAATTACAAATACATTTCTATGAAATATGTTCACATATTGCTAACTATTTGTTGTTGCATGAATGGGCTTCACTCATTCACTAAAATAAAAATCTGCAACTTAAATAAAACTAAAAAAACTAAACTTAAAAAATGTTTAAACCACTAAAGTAAAATCTAACTGAACTTAATACTGAGCTTTAAAGTAAAGCTGTGTGTAAACCATATACTCTGAACTAAACAAAAATGTTTAAAACTCTAATTAATGAACAAATCAAAAAATATCGAAGTGAATAACACTAAACTTTAAAACCAAAATTAGTTAACTCTATCTTGAAACTAAAGCATAAAAATAAATTTAAACCAAATATTAAACTGACTAAACTTTCAAACCAAACGTTTAACATTTAACTATAATAAAACCTCTAACGAAAACCTAAACTATTAAACTCTAACGAAATTCCAAACCCTACTGAAGCTAAACTAAACTACTAAAACATAATCCGAAACTACTAAAACTAGACTGAACATCCAATTAACTTTAACTAAAACATCACTGACTTTCAACTTGATAAAGCCAATTCAGAAAAACTTGCTATTGAAAAAATGACCAAATATTGACACATAACTCTGAGGAAACTAAACCATGCTAAGACCAAACAATCTCGAATTGCCAAAACGTTTGTTCTTTTCAGTTGTGTTTTGCAGGTCACATCAGTGCACCAAATGGAAATAAAGTCTAAAGGCTTCAAGTCTCGTGGAATAACAATTTTTTATTTTTATTTTTATGTAATTACGTATCATGTAACGTTTTGAATCATATTTGTAAAAACAATATCTTAATGCTATTAAACAAAATTCGGACAAACTTTTTGTGATTTCTCTGTATTGTTTAGAACCATTCTACTATCACATTTTTAGGAACAGGATTTTACGAGTTCACATGTTTTTTTATGATGTAGACATAAGTGTTCTGCTGGGAAATACACCACTCGTATTTTTCGTACAAACTACATCCGGGACCTGAGTAACATATTTTCATATCTTCACAAGTGAGGATATCGATGACGTCACTTGCGATGTTTCCCGGGACCTGTTTTGATTAACTTGCGTAGTTTTTCTTTGTGGATATGTCTATATAATAAAAAGAAAATTACACGTTGGCTTGAAGATATGAAGTTTATCTTCTCGTGTTGAAAAATATTTTTCATATCTTCGAGCCACCGTGTAATATCCTATATTTATTACACAACTTAGGGGGGTATATATCAGGTAAAAAGTGTCAAGATTTAGGGAATCACTCAGTACAATTATTTAAAGGGGGGTCATAAAATTAAAGGCTAGTGCTCTCTGAAAATAGTACAATGTCTATAAGCCGTTCCAGAGTCGTAGAAATGCATTGCATTATGGGGCTGTATTGAGGGACGCTCCATCAATATCAGGTGACATCTTGATAGTACTAGTTATACATAGGGTGAAGTTACTAAACCCGTGAAATAGATATTAAACTATTACACATTAGTAGACCCTAATTCCATTGTTTTCTTTCGTGTCTATCTATCGTGTCTATTTTATTTCACTGGTTCAATACCTTCACTCTAGTACTGTTTCATGAAGATATAGTGTCTGAACTCTAGTCTAAAAATGTGCACAACTTCATATAAGATGAAAACAATTCAAGGGTGATATGCCACTAGTTACTGTTAGTCACAATCGCTCAACAGTCGTAATATCACTACAAAGGATATATCAAATACATACACACAAAAACAGCTCGTTATCATTTAATAATGAGTTATCGTCCTAGCTGTATTTTTGTGTAATTTTATCACCTGTGTATTGATATTAATGAGTGTTCTCGCGGTGACCACAAGATAAGCATTATTCCTTCCCGATTTTTCCTTTCATTTTTCTTTCTTTCTTTCATTCCTTTTCATTTCCTGCAGTAGAACTCGCCTCAGCCTCTCACCGCAATAAACAGAATCAGAGGTCTGGTATCTAATAGCGTAAACAAGCATGACGTCATCATGCTTTGCAATGATTCGAGTTCCATCAAAATATGGCGGACGATAAAGACACGACAGAACTAACTGGAGACATTGAAATGGCTGCTCCGATCACTAAATCTTCACAATTTACCCTCGCTAAGGAATGGCTCAGCAAACGAAGAGCCACTATGAAGCCTTGGAGGGAGTTCCTCAGCACATCGAAGTTCTCCAAGCCGAAAAGCATCGCCGAGGTTGGTCGACGTGTCGTGAAAAATCTCGAAGAATATCAAAGTAACTACATTCTAATGGTCCTTCTTATTACCGTCTACTGTGTGTAAGTACACTTATATAGATTCTACACTGAATCTCCTAAGTATAATTCACTAAAGCAACGATTATTTGAGATTTTTTTGAATCTCAAATTAGCTTAGTTCAGAAAATTTCTGGCTCAGTAGAACGGATTTTTTTGAAAAAAAGAACACTAAACGTCCTCAAAGGTCGTTAAAGCATCACCAAAAGAAGGTTCTTACAAAGATTGCACTAAATTTACAGCAAATTGTTAAGTGAAATAATTAATTTATATCTTCATTCAACTCCAATGCATTGCTGTTTTGGGCTACCTGTGGTTTACGTAGACAGCTTTGAACATTCTTCTTGTAGAGGATTCGATACCTAGAAACTGTTTGATTTGAAGGTTGTACATTTACTATAATATGATCATATGTGCTACGTGCTGTTTGAGACCACAGTAGCGACAGGAAAACCAGGCAATAGATTACTGTCAATCAATTAAATTGTTCAGTAGCTTTACAGTGTACATACTCTGCAGATCTCATTGATGGCAGTGTATTGTCCTATTCCTATATCCTAGCCATTGTCTCTATCAGCTCATAGCAATGAAAACAGTGGTAAAGTGTTTTTGTGAACATACATCCCAACTAACTCCAGAGCACCTCCTCGAACCTTCTCTTAACAAAATTCAACAGTTCCTTTTTTTGTTACTCTATATAATTGGAGCGGAATTATGAATAATGTTTACTTAGGATAAATTATTAATTCACTTCATTTGAGACGCTAATAGCCCACTTCCGAGATATGTTTCACTTGTCACGCAAAAAGGTTTCAGTATGAGGCTACATGCTAAATTAAATTTATTCTTACCGCCTGTCACGAATGACTGAGCATTTAGCACATAGCCATATACTGAAACCTTCGGCGTGACAAGCTAAGCATATCTTGGAAGTGGGCTATTAGTAAATCTGTTTGGCTCGCTATTACCACAGGGTGACCAATCCTCTATTACTCATTGCTATTTCTATTGGAGGTGGAGGGTGTTGGTACCTCTCTTTTAAAAATGAAGGAAGAACGATTAAAATCTTGGGTAAGTACTAGAGCAGTTTTCATATGACTGTGAAAAAGTCGGGGCGGTATGTGCGCCTTGCTGTGACTGTGATGTTTTCTAGACTTTTAATTGGGGGATTTTTCTCCCGCAATGTGATTGGTCGAATAGTGCCGTGACATTGGCGTGACCATGTCCATGCCGTGTTCCAAGCCGTGTTTTGGACATTTTATAGGATGAAGAGTAAATTCTCGTGCAATGTGATTGGTCTGATGTATCCCTTGTTGTGTCACGACCGTGTTTGTGCCGTAAGCTTTTCACAGCCATACAAAAACTGCTGGATGCAACATCACAACACACTTATTACACTACAGTAATTATAATATACTATATGCAGAGCTTAAAATGACTGCCAGTCAGTAGCCAGGCATAATTAGAGACCAAATTACCAGCAGACCAGTAAAGAGTCATACCTTGGTCATACATTGTTTCTGTTACTAGTCAAAGTGGCCAGCAAGGCAAAGATTTGAGGGTACTAATTTGCAGGGGGATGTTTGTGAAAAAATCTTTCTAGAAAACAGTGTCCATGATACCTGACCCTTGTTTATGGTGTTTTATAGGGCGTGAATTCAGTGTTATGGAGCAGTATGGTGTGATTGCTTTGCTCTGTCTACCATTACTGTTTCTCGCTTCTGCTGGCTCAACTGTTTTCTGGATCATCGGTAAGTTTATTTGAATCTCTTAAATAAGTTTCCACGCAAATGGAAAACTTGAAGAACCGGAACTCCAAAATGGCCCACAACAAATAAAGCATGACACACCATACTTACACAAAACCTAAAATTGGGAAACCTGTGAAAATAGAAGATGGTTGTTCTTTTCTTATTAATCATTTGATTTTCAAGAACACATCTATTTTTTTGCAGGTGCTTCAGTCTTCACAATCCTCCTCCATGCCTCATTCCTCAGTGGGTCTTCATCACCAGATTCAAATGCCTTTGACTTGGAGATGCAGCCAGTCTAATTAAACCTCGTGTCTACGTACAAGATAGCACATGGATAGCCAATTGGGGATCTTTATTTCTTATAACAAGTATTGTTTCCATGGCAACCATTAGATTATTTGTGTTAAACTCACAACAATCAATCAATCTTAATTCCCAAGAAAAAGAGACAGAAATTCTTCTGATTTATTGTACAGTACTCCTGGGATTGAAAGAAATATTTAAGAACCATTGTGTAAGGGCTTTTATCCTTGAATAAATTGTACATGTTTTCATTTTAATAGTGGTCGTTTTTCTTCACCAATTCCTTTGTTTCTTTTGTTTTATTTCGCTACGCTCACTCATGAGAGATCTTTTCAACACCCAAAGATAAAATTCGTATCTCCGCGCACCCTATAATATCCTCTATTTCTTTTATGATCCAATAAAATCACTTGAAGCAGTGATACCTGTTGCTATTTGCCACCGATAAATTAGACAGCAAGCTGTTTTCAGTATTTATTTTCTCAATTATTACCCTGCTAAGCACAGGTCTCTTTGAAACACTGCCCACCACAGGGTATGCACACCTGTGAAAATGATATTCAACCAAAAGCCAGATTTTAAAGTAGGAAAGCCTCTGACTACATTCTGAAACACTATTTTTTAATTATGAAGTTTCTCTTACACCTCTACTAAATAATATACAAGTTAGATAAAGTTATAGACTAAAATCTTTATAGACTTTTGAAGTCTCCTTATTTCCTTAAATATATTTACATTTTTAACCGGACTTTAAGTCTTTCAGATATTTATTTATTATCTTTGTTTATTTTAAGAAAGAGTTTAGCTTTGCTACATGATTGGGGAAGAGAGCTTCACAGCAGGTTAGTTGTGAAAACGACCATGGGAAGTAGTAGTTTCTTATTGGTTGAAAATTGATACTGCTGTACTCTGATTGGTTGAACCTATCCTTATTTATGCCCAAATATGGCAGCTGGTATGGTAAATCCTATTTGCTCTTGCTGTGAGCGAACAATTTGTACGCCTGGGGTCTTATTGAATAAAATTCGTAGCTCCTGATTGGCCAATAATTGATATTCAGTAATTCCTCTTTGATTGGTCTAATCTATTCATTTCTATACCCAAATATGGTAATTGGAATTTTAAATCTAGGTTGCTTCTGGTTTAAGCAAATAATGTTAGTTGTCACGTGATCACTAAAGAACTACTGCTGACACAGCTATCCAACATGCTCAGAATATGAGATTTAAGCATTAAATGGCATTATCAGGGTCATGAGCGTTTCTCAATCCACAGAAAATCTTCATGAATCCTCTCTTGAATCTGCGATCTCTCATAGCGATGATCAGCGGATTTACCGCAGTAGACAGCAAAGCCAATGTGAGTCCGCCATTGATTGACCAATAGGAACCTGATGTTTCTTCAAGCAATACCTTCTTCATGACAATGATGGAATAGGGAAGCCAGCAGGCGAAAAACACCACAATAATCACCAGGATCATCTTGTGGGCTCGTAAGTCACGTTTTGGTCGAGTTTCGTTGGATTGTGGGATAGCAGAGTCGATATGAGAGATGCTCTCCATTGAAGCAGCGTAGCACGATGTCTTCTCGATGTCTTTGACGTGTTTCTCGACGACTGAAAAGATCTTCGCGTAGCAGAAGGTCATGACCAAGACGGGTAAAATAAAGCCAAATATTGACAGAAGAATCACGTAGGATTTATGGATGACCCCGACAGCTGCCCAGTGAGGACGGCATGTGTTGGTGTGAGGGTCGAAAGTATAGTTTCCCCACCCCACTAGTGGACCTGCTGCCCAGAACACTGAATGCACCCAACCATAGGCGAGCATCAGGCGCATGCGCTTTGATGTCATCTTCAAGTGGTAGCTGAAACAAACAAAATAACAGGTTTCAAAACGTGCTCTTTTTGTCATAACGGCCGCATTCCTTTTGGTCTCCTTGAAAAAAAGGATCTCTGTTGTCTGATCCCCTGTTAGAACATTAGAAACTAACCGGAAGAACCGGCCGGTCCGGCAGGCAGATGTCTAAGTTGAGATGCATATGCGGTCTGTATGTCTGTCTGTGTCTCCGCTTCCTCTCCCCTGAGAAGCCTTTTTCAGTCTCGCTTATATTCAGCTCACTAACTGGCGGTCTGTCTGTCAGCGGTCTGTCTGTCTGTCTGATGGTCTGTCTGTCTGTCTGATGGTCTGTCAGTCTGTCAGCTGTCTGTCTGTCTCTACGCTTAACCTTTTTCGAGGAATAGCTGTTTTCTCTCTTAGTGTCAGTACGTACGAGTCTTCGTCATTGTTTTTCGTCCTTTTCGTCCCAAAAGACCATAAAGAATTTGATCAGACGCAATCCTAGATTTTATTCTATTGTATCGATGTTCTAGATTGTTCTTCTCATCACGTTTACTGATTTTAAAGACTCTGACGATGATAAACACTAATACCCTCTGGAAAATGAGCGTCTTTTCTTCTGGTTATCTATATTAACAGCATAGTGATCCGACTCTTAGTCTAACTATAGGTAAAATGACTTTAAAGCAATTATATCAAGAGTCATTAGGTTCTGCTATCTACTGGTTTCTGCTCGCTGGCTAAAGCTACCGGCTTTTAAGATTAAATTTGRAGGTGTCGAATGATTGCTATTCAGCCTTAACTTGACGGAAATTCAAAGTAAAATCTAGAAATGCATTGTGAAAGAAATTGCTTCCTCGAAATTTGAGAACTCGATTATCATCGGAGGAGAATGGGCGGAGGCGTACTACGTATGTGTTACGTGTGCGTCTCGTGTCTTTTCAAGGTTTTCTGGTTGATAAACAAGGCAGAAAGTATTCAAACCGCAGACATGAATTTAATTTAAAAACTCATAAACTTAATGCGAACATAAGTCTAAATGCCATGGTAATAGACTTTAAAGTCGTATTATTATGACAGACAGTTCCCATGGTGATGCATCTCTCCATGGTAACAGACTTTTTTTTCCATGATAGCGTGCCGCTATGGCCGAGTTTCTTATCGTAGGAGGTATGGTCGAAATTGGACAATCCTGAATATCTCCATCTTAATCCAGTGATTTTTTGATAATTTGGTTAAAATCGGGCTGCATTTGCCAAGCTCAATGAGATTTTACAACTAGATGTATTAACAGTATTAAGGATGTTCATTTTATCCAGCCCGGTCTCCCCAGTCCCTACGCTGGATATTAAACCCGGCAATGGAGAGAGACAGTGGTACTGCATGTTACCATGGTGATAGTTTCAAGTTCTACGTTTCCAAAACGGCGGCAAAAGGTCATTGGTTTCTGGTTAACTTGGTGGCACGTTTAATGTCGATACAAACAAAAATTTTGCTATTGCTATTGTAAAGGTTATTCACCACAAATATTCCCATTTAATATCAATGAATGTATATCATCAGTCCGTGCCTTTGATGAACAGCTGCAAAAAGGCTGGATGTCTTGACCACTGGCCGTGATGAGGAATCCTGCTCTCAGCAGCCACTTGTTATTAGAAAGCTTATTTAGATCAAGCAGCATAAAAAATGACTTCCTATGGCGTTGTCTTGTCTCAGAGTTCTCTACCATACTATGCCATTGAATTGCGACTGTGTAAGATACACAGCACTGTAGAATCAATATCATTATATTGAATGCCGGGTAACCTTTGTTTTCGTATTTAAAGACGCTAGTTTATTTCCACTCAGTATTTTGTTTGATAAAAAATAAATATATTTTTATTTAGTGTCTAGTCGTTCTAGTGCTTTCGCACTAATTGGGGACACTTTTTGCTCACACGCACTACCACTTCATTCAATATTATATGCACGCGACGATCAGCTCACATGTTGATTTTCACGGAGGGAGGAAACCGGAGAACCTGGAGAAAACCCTCATAGCATAGAAGAGAACAATACATCAAACAAACCTAATTTACATGTGGCGACCAGGAATCAAATTAGCAAACCCGATCCGTTGGACTCACAGCTGTGAAAGACGACGCGTTAACTCCGAACGCCACCCATGCTACATATATAGATATATTATTATTATCATTATTATATTAGCGGCTTACTTCTTTGGACTTCCTTAAAGAAAATATAGAGCTAAAATCCTACCAGTACTACGTGGAATAAAGGAGGATTTCCGGCCGCCGCGTGAGTCATTTCAAATTTAGGTTTGAGTGTCTAGATGAAATATTGACTAGTTGACTCTTGTTTATGTTAGGGAGAGTCGCATTCGAAATCATTCGTAAGGCTTTATTTCTTTCATTTTCTCTTTTTATGCAATTCGCCGTTTGTTGATCTTTTTCCACTTGGCCTTTTTTCAGGAGCGAAATTAAAATTGAAAATTATACTTTCACTCAACTCGAACTCTTATATCTCAAAAACAACGAAACAAACAATTGGAAGAGGAAAGAAAAGTGGAAAGACCATACTTACAGCAGTGGGTAGTTAATGTCCAGAAACCGGTCGACGCTGATAAAACTGAGCGTAGCCAAAGAAGCATTGATTCCAGTGCTGATTAGGAACGTGTGGGCCTGGCAAAAACATTTCCCGAAAATCCATTCTTGTTTGACAACAGCGATAGCGTAGAAAGGGATATAAACTACAGCAGTTAGTATATCTGCTACAGCAAGGTTGACGACGAAATAAAATGTTGGAGCATGGAGTCTGTAGTCGCGTAGAACCACATTGATTACAAGGTTGTTGCCAATGATGGCCGAAATGCAGATAAATACGAGAACAATTACATRAAAGACGATTAAACCTGTGCCTGGATAGTACGCAGGGTCTTTACTCGGAATTATGAGACTTTCTGCCGAGAAATCAGACGAGTTGTTCATATCGAAAGTGTTGCTACTCCGTGTTTTGACCTTAGCTCGATTTTCCGATGTTTTTATACTTGATCCATGGGAAACATATGACCAAACCTTCATGACGTAAGCAAAAAATTACGTATTTCCAATGAAGAACTGTCAGCTTGTGATGAGATCGCTCACTCAAACATTGAAATTCAATCAAAGAGAGAAGAGAAACCGCAGTGTTTTAGATACTCAATCATCATAAATATTTGATTTTTTAAAATAATTTTATGTGATGAAGAAAGCAGTCAAAACGAATTTAATTGGTCCCTCAGTGGTCCGGTTTCCTCGAGCGAATGTTCGGTCAAGTTTAAGACGAGATTCAGACACTGTTTTGATAATATCTCAATTTTTTCCCTAATTTATCAAAAAACCATTAGTAAAATCCATTAGATTGGCTTGTTTGATCCGGATAGCAGGACATTGTTTTACTTTTAGCGTTGATTAGAATTTCGTATGTTTCGCTTTGTCTGTGTTGGTTTTTAGTGACCTCAGGTCCTTAATGCGCATGCGCAAAAACGRTAATCAAAAGATTAATCCATCAATCCAACAATAACCTGTGTTATCTAAATAACGATTTAAATACTCACAAAACTCTCTATAAAACGAAAAAAGCACGACTTCATTTGGCAAATTTTATTAGCCTAATTCGAGATTTTACTTATCAAAGTACAAAACAACCGGTCAGGCGAGTTCTCGATCGGCTTCCATCCGCTTTCGTTCTTCGCGGGAACAACCCGCTAAACACTCGCTTGGGTAAAAGTAATAGATTAGGAGCTTTGATAAAAATTGTGATCGATCAGAACACCTCCAGATTTYCCCCCAAGCACATTGAATTATTTCTGGAAAATCCCAATAAGATAAAAAGATTAGCAATAAAAATGTATAACTAATGCCGAAAGTACATAACATATAAGTAAATAACATATATATATAAGAAAATGTTTGAGGTTGGACCCTCACATGATTATATATGTATGACTGATTAAAACTGAGGCTGTTTGTTTTTTTCATCGCAAATAAATCAATAAGCCACTGATCCTGCTAAAGCTGTATGTTGTCACTATTTTACTGTCCATCTGACAAGATACAAGACAAATTAATTTTTTAAAGTAAAATTTGACATTATTTCAATGAGTGAATTTATTAAATAATTTTGTCTTGCTATTACCTTTCTCCATTCTCGTCAATATTAGATCTTAGATTTTAGAGTCGGTTTTCAACGAGTTGAAAAACACAATTCGCCATATTGCAGCCAATATTCGTCGATAATTTTTTTTAGTACAGCTAGTAGTATTGTTTAGTGTTTGAAAAAAAAGTAAATGACATCCTCAAAGTTAGATGACGTCTGTGACGGATTATTTGCTTTAGGAACTTCTAATAAATTTTGGTGATAGATAAATGCTATGTTGTTGGATCTAGAAAGATCCGGACTTTTTCTCGCGAGATCAAGTTCCTATCCAATGATTTTACTCTTTTCTTTATATTTTCCTTTTCTTTTTAAACTTATATGTTGCTAAAAATATGCGCCAAAGATTTTTAATTAAAATTAATTAATATGTTATCAAAGTAATGGATTTACACTAAAATGAGATGAGCCGTTACTTACAAGTCAAGGGAAATCCGGTCAAGCCCCCCCCTAAATCTTTGGCTTGATCTGCCCCTTCTACAAGAGTTTTATATTTAGCGGAAAAAGACTTCCTCACACGTGACGTCAAAATTTCTTTCGCGCGCTTTTCCACCGGTTATCCTCATGGACAATCATCGTTTAAGCGAACTAAAACAAGTTGAAATAACTAATTGGATTATCTATTGAATTAAAAAGGGTTCTAGAAATTGCCTTTGTTATTCATTTATCTCACGTGCCTTGAGGCTTGAGTCAAATCATTGAAATATTTCATATTTTAGAAAAATAATGATGAATGAGATAGCACAAGAAATGCTTACAATTTAAATTATTAATTAGTATCACCAGCCATGCAAGCTCACACTTGTGTTCTTTTTATTTATTACATTTGTGGCACGAAAATTTCGAAAATATAAAAGGCAATACAATAAATTTTTTTTTACATGTCAGGGTTAACAGAAAAGTCCCTTTGCGACTTAATAAATTGACTATATGGCTATTCTGATGGAATTCCTGTATGTGTGTTTATTATCATCTAAATCGACCAAAACCAACTTGATTCAGCAAATAACACTAGGAAACATATGGCCAAAACGCGTAAACGCTTTCACTATCACTTGTAACTTTCTTTATTATTTTTATTCTTATTTTTTCGTTTCTTTTAAAACCCGACTAAAATTTCGAAAGACCGAACGTGGGTACCGGAAACGATTCAGGTTGACCTTGAAATGCGTAATATATTATTTTTCCGTGATCTAGCATCTAAACCTCCGTCATCAAAATGAGAGTGTCATTGTATTGGCATCCAGGGTGAATGGCTTAGATTTTGGTAAACCGTAGATCACGTATAAGAGGCATGCTATACTACTGAGACTTGTACCCATTCTCTTAAGCCACTGCACGGTCGTAATAAGACGAGCGAGACCTGGTTTGATTTTGCGGGTAAACCATGGGTGACGTATAAGGGGAGTGCTATAGTTCTCTAAACTTGTGTCCATTGCCCAGTCATCGCACGGGCGTACTAAGACGAGAGGAACCTGGATTGATTTAAGACAAACCTTGGATGGCTGGGTGATTAACTAGCCACGACTTGTGCCCATTCTCTTAGTTAGTACGCGGTTGTGCTAAGACGAGCGGTACTATACTGACTGTATGAATCCGATTCATTTTCAAATAGTATTTTCAAGGGGAAAAACAAAGATTTTTAAATTTATTTATTTTAATCGTGTATTTTTAATAT